CACTGACAAAGAAGATTAATCAGAACTGGCTTTGACAAGCACTGTGGCATTTGGACAAGAACAAACTGGGAGAAGGGTGGAGAGAATGGTGCAGCGGTGAATGAGTGGAAACCCAAAATCTCTGTAGATGTTTGTGAAAATTAATAAAATATAATTATAGGAAAAAAGAGGAGGGAAAAGATTGGGATTCAATTGTTAGACAAGTAATACATACTTAACAAATAAAATATCTCAATGGGAAAAAAGATGGAGACTATAGAGTCACTTAGACCAATGATAATGAAGGAAGAAGCCAAAGCTGCACTCTAGGCATTAGCTGAGAATAAGGCTACAGGAATTGAGAAAATACGAATGGAGATATTTCAATAAACAGTGTTGGCTATTCTCACTTTTGTATGTCAAAAAATTTAGGAGCTATCATTTAGAAGAAATCATAGTCATCATTTTCCAAATGTATTTGGGGAAATAAAAATAACCATTAACTTCATATGGAAAGGAACGAGAGCCCAGATAAGCAGAGCATTACTGAAGAAGAAAACCATAGTAGGCCTTATATTTCCCAATTTCAAAACCCACTAAACAGTCACAGTAACCAAAAAATTAATAACCCAAAAATAAATCCATCGACCTATAAACAGCTAATCTCTGGCAAACAGATAAAATCCATAAAATGGGGGAGAGACATCAAACCGTATGTTGAACAAATAATCCTAGAAAATGGATTATGAAGAATGCAATGTCAGGATTGAAGGAAGACTTATTTGCTACCTGCAATGTGCAAATAACAAAACCTTACCTGCAGAAAATTAAGACAATCTGACGCAATTACTGGTGAAGTTTAAAGAAGGTTCAAAAAAAAGAAGGTTCAGTGTGGAGTCTATCCCAACATAAAGAAATAAAAATTGTCATAACTATAACAATAAATAATCATAGTAAACAGAGGGAAAAAATGAAATAGTAAAATATTTCATTCAGCTTGGATCCATACTCAACTCACCAATGAAAGCATCAGTGAATTAACGAATACTGCACTGAGAAAATAAGCTGAGAAAGACTTCCATAAAATGTTGAAGAGCAATGGTTTCACTTTGATATATAATGTGTGCCTGACCCAAGATATCGTACTGCCAGTTGCATCATGTGCATGTAAAAACTGGACAATGAATAAGGGAGATTGAAGAAGAATTGATGCCTTTGAATTGGGATGCTGGCAAAATAACAGAATGCATTATGGTGGTGATGGTGGTATATATTGTTGAGTCAGAGCCAACTCATAGCTGACCCTTCATCAGGTTTTCAGAGGATGCATAAGGCACAGGAAACTGCCCATCATTCTCCTGTGGAGCAGCTGGTGGACTTAAACTGTGCACTTTTGAGTTGGAAGTGCAACTCCTTACCACTTAGCCATCAGCAGAGCTCCCTAGAGACTTTAAAAATAATAAATCTGTCTTGGGAAAAATAATGTAGATAAAAAGCTGTTTAGTTGAGAAAAACTAAAAGCATTTTCCTTGAGGGAAGGGAAGATGCTTAAAAGTAAAGATGGCAAAATGCTGCCTCATGCATTTTGGGCATGTTATCAAGAGGAGCTAATCACTGGAGAAAGACATCATGCATGATGAAGAAAAAGGTCAGTGAAAAAGAGGAAGACCGTCAATGAGATTTACTGGCATAGTGGCTTAAGAGCAGTAGACACCCGTTTTCCCTTTCCCAGGTCTCAGTAGTGGGGATTGATGGTCTCCCTTCTAACCCCTCCTCATTACCTTCCTTTCTAATTGTCCCTACATGCCCAACCCTGTTGCTAGGTAGAGACTGACCTCCTGTTTAAATTTAGAGTTATGGTTCACTGGGAGTCAAGCAAACATAGTTCGCCTGATCATCCTTTAGTTCTATTCCCCTTAGCGCTCTTTCCCTCTGAGCCCCTTTCTACACTACCTCTATCACCACACATTGTCAACCCCATTGTATGAGATCTTTCCACTCCATCCATCACTCCCACCATCAACCTGTTCTTGTTACTCTAAAAGATCCCTCCTCTTTTCCTGCTAGACACCAATTCCCTAACTCCGCACAACACTGCAGAAGTTTAAAACCCATTATTACTGGCCTACTTTCCAATAAGCTTCTTATCCCCCAGTGTTCTTCGCAATATGATGATGATATTTTTTGTGTAGCCTCTCATATCAAATTTCACGAACTCACACTGCTCAACTTCTTAACTTCGTCTCCAAGGGATACAGGGTATCCTCCAAGGCCTGTCTCTCCCCATAGTCACGTATCTGAGTTTTCAATTGACCCCCATCACTAGAAGTCACTGAAAGCCTCCAGCCACCTAAAACTGCTGATCGAATCCTCTCTTGGATTTATTGGCTTCCTTAGACACTGGATTCCCAACTTTTCCTTACTAGCAAAACCCCTTTATGATGCAGCAAAAGCCACCCCACAAGGACCCCTATATTCACCTCAGATATTTAAAATGCTTTCCTCAAGCTCCAGCATTTCCTCTTACAGTCTCCACCCCTCGCATTGCCAAATCCATCTAAACCTTTTCATGTATACACTGATGCAAAACAGGGTACTACTGTTGTCTTGGCTTAGCCTCTTGGATCCACCATTGCATTCCTCTCTAAGGAGTTCAATGTCACCACCCAGGGATGGCAACCCTGCTTGTGAACCCTAGCAGCAGCAGCAGCTCTCCTCACTAAAGAGGTGCTTGAACTCATCCTGAGAAGCCCTCTGCAAGTCTTCTCTAGCCATAGACTTCAAGACCTGATTTCCTAAAATACGCTTTCCCACCACTTCCTATCTTTACTTCTCCCTGGGTGGATACAGGAGCTCCATCTGCTTTTTCATGAGAACCCTGATACTAACCTCTCAATCACCATCCCTCAACCCTGCCACCCTACTTCCAGTAGATACCTGAACTTACGATCATGGCTGCCCTGAAGTCCTTAAAAATATGGCTCTACTTTCCTTTCTATCTGAACAACCCATACATAATCCAGACATTATTCTGTTAACAGTAGCTCTTGTATGACTTCTGAAGGTTACCATTAGGCAGTCTATGCTGTAGTTTCCATAAACAGAGTGTGGAAAGAAGCAACTTACT